CCCTAAATTTTATTTGGTACATTTCATTTTGAGGTTTTCAGTTACAAAAATGGCGTAGAATGTAAATGCGTGGTTTTGACAATAAAAGAGAAACCACAAATAATATAGAAGCTTCAAGAAGAAAGTTTAAACAAAAATGTAGCAGTGACATGTTAGGGGAAATGGGTCTCCTTGACATTCAGAAAAATTTAAAATAAATAAATTTAAAAATTAATGCTAATAGTTCAGATCTTCCCAGTGGCTTATTAAAGGATAATTACGAAACCATCGACTTACAGTGAAACAGCTATAGAACAGTTTAAAGTATTATTTCACATTAATAATGCGTTTTCGGGATCTCCCCTCCATTGCTGTGGGTAATCGAGAATTCTCTTGTTAACTGGATTGTTTTGCAGTGGTGGCGTAGTCCAGAATGGAAATGTGAGTGATGGCGGCCTGCATGAGAGTGAGTTTAGCGGCGCTTGCAGCCTGAATGAACTGAGTGGCATGGCAAAGTATTGGGTTGGAAAGGACTACACCAACTTCATAGTGAAGGACTTCACCAACTTGGACCTGCCTTACCAAGGTAAGGCACAGTTCAGAAATGCTGAAAATTTTGTTTGTTAATGAGTCATCTTATCAGCTTTGTTATTCTTCGTGTTTCTTGGCAGACCTGGTGGATCGAAACACGACACCGAGAATGCCGTGGCATGACGTAGGGACCATGGTTGTGGGGGCTGCGGCTCTTGATGTGGCACGCCACTTCATACAGCGCTGGAATGCCATAAAGGTTTGTTCCAACAAGAGCACCAGCTTTTTTGGATTTCCTTTTTCATACATAATATGAAATAAATATCATGAGTGATAAAGTTTGGTGCTGTTGTTAATATTCTTAAATCAAACACGTGTTGTGGTGCACGGAATGTACCGAATATGTAGCCTTAATTTAAGTAACATAAAAGGCATTAAAGTTTATATAGGGAAGCCTGTTCAAAACTCACCTGTTAGGATATGAAGACACAGTGAAAGGATGATATGAAAATTAAACTAAAAGATGTAGGTTGTAAGTATGTGGATTTTATTTGAGTGGTCCGGTGGCAGACTTTTGTATTGCGTACGTTACCACAATTTGTTTCTTGGTTGGTGGTCACTCAGTCTGTAGACAACATTTTGTTCATTACAGGGCATTTTTGATGATATGGCACAAAATTCAACTCGACTGTATTTGTTAAGTGTTTTTTCTGCTTTGGTTTTGTGAGTAGAAGTTGCCAGTCCTTTTTCATACCACTGGCTTGTTTCAGCTGGAGAAGGCGAAGCTCAACTTGTCATATCCATACCTGCTGCCCAAGTCTTATGACAGCATTGGCCCGTGCCCACCTATCGCAAATATACCTGTGCATCGCGTCAACTGTCAGGTATGTACGTCGGGGAGAATTCATTGAGCCACAGGCACAGCGAAGATGTTGACGGCAATGACCGATACTCTCTCCATAATTATGTGCTGTTACAGAAAAAGGTTGAGATCACTTGAAGAAATGAAACGCCTTTCAATATCTATGCAGTAACGTACTTAACTCTGTATTGAACATTAAAATATTTATTGATGGTTGCATTTCAATACAATTCAATTGCAATAATAAATACACAACATCGCTGTGACTGTACAAGAGCCCACGCAGGTCACTTCATGTTGTAACCTACTCGTGCCAGTCCATAAATTGTCTTCAAACAGTTGAAGTGCGAGGATATCTTTTTCACAGGTGCAATGAGTGTTGATTGCCTAACGGCGCCTGGCATCTCATTCTTACTTCGCTTGCCAGAATAAGTATAAGGGAACATTTTCTGATTCTGCTGTTCAAAACAAATTTAAAGTATCTCATTTGGGGGTCATCATTTCCATGACACAGAAAGTGTGCAGGGCGGAAATGGTTCTGGTGATCCTCTGATGTTAATTGACGATAGTTTGTACAAGATCTGCCAAACTTCGTTACGCTCTCCATGAAAGTCACTCACAGAACTTTCCGTTCAGAGTGGATTGATCTGTGGAAGTATATATAATGACACGAATATTTTTGAACTTCATCCATAACATGTAGCATGTTGTGCATGCACTGAGAGTACTTACTTTATTTGTCAAAATTTGTGGCCCGCTCAGTCTCAAGATCTGTTGCTGCCAGGCTGGAGGTTTTTCAAGGAGATTGTGTATAAAAATGACCTGTACGTATTTAAAAAATTGAAACAAAATATTGAGCTGTGCATTACAGACGTCACTGCAAAAACATTTCACCAGCTCGCATCAAACATAAGAAAAAAAAAGTGAATGCGATGGACATTTCCAACACTTAATATAGCTTCCTATTTTGAGAAATAGGATGTGTGAGAAATAGTGTGCATGATTTTTCAGTCACTCTGTGTCACTGAATGGAAAGAATTTTGCATAACTCTGTGTTCACTGTATCATCATTTTAAAAATCAATGAGCATTTTTCAATACACTTACCACATCTTGTACAAAATTTTGCTTAAGCATCTTTTCCGTTATACCACCGAATTATGTGCATTTCCTGTGATGTGTTGTGAGAGATGGCTCTACTCCCCATCTTTCATTTATCTGCGTGTTCTGCTCTCTGACTTGTAAGGACTTGCCTTGTAAACAGTTACCCTTCTCCCTAAACAACTCACTGTCCCGTGCTAGATTTTTGCAGCACGTTTCAAACGGCCGTCAGCGACTGTCTGTGCATGAGCACATCTTATTGGTATTTGCTATAGGTCTTGCGCAGTGCTTCAAGCTGGAGCGTTGGATTCCTGGATACAGAGACGTACGAGGAAAGCATCCACGAGGCATACATTGATGCCATCACAAAAGCAAAGCACTATGTGTACATAGAAAACCAGTTCTTCATCAGCCTTGCATCACACAATTCCTCCGTACATAACCACGTCTGCGAGACTCTGTACAACCGCATCGTGCGAGCACACAAGTGAGTCAAACCTAAACCTTGGAATACAGGAATACGCTTCTGCTGTAAATATAAGGACAGTGTTAAATGACGCAGAAAAGTGAGAACTGTGTGTAAATGTGGGACGTTAAAGTTTGGGAACTTCCGCGTGAAAACTTGGAGTGTGTGCTAATTCCCAGCCCGTCTTAGCTGCATTCTTGTGACGGCACATTCTTTTCTGTTATCAATTCGCAGGGAGGGCGCAGTGTTCCGCGTGTATGTGGTGATGCCTCTGTTGCCAGGCTTTGAGGGGGAAGTGGGCAGCCCGTCCGGTACGGCGCTGCACGCGGTCACGCACTGGAACTATGCTTCAATTTGCAGGTAAGTACACTATTGCCTCTGTTAATCGATGAAATACCAAGCCGCCTCTGCCACCAATCAGTCAGTGTATCATGCCGTCAGAATTCCCTTGCCAGGACAACCACTGGCAGCATCAAGCACGACATTGGGATTGTACGTTCGGAATGATGAGATCAGGACAAGAATTTGGAAATAATTTGACAATCAAGATAACTAATGCATTCCTTACTATATAATACTTGTCATTCCATCACAACGCATACATTACAACTAAATGTCGTGATCGAGTGGTTAACACTCCTACTTTGTTTTCGGGAGTTCCTGTGTTCAAATCTCGGCCCAGAGACCAGCTAACCTAACTGGGTTTTTTGTAGTTTTCCTCAGTCCCTTCAGGCAAATGTCAAGATATTGCCTTAAATTAGGCCATGACTGCTTCCATCCACATCCTTTCCAATTCATTATTTTCTGCAACACATGGGGGGGGAGTCAAGGGATACATACAGAATTTTTGTGGGAAATCCTTATGAAAAATGACCACTGGGCAGGCCAAGAAGGAGATGGGAGGATAATATTAATATGGATCGTAAGGAGGTGGGCTGTGGGGATAGTAAATGGATGGAGTTGGTTCAGGATCGTGTTCGGTGGTTGGCTTTGGTGTTGTCGGTGTTGGACCTACAGGAACTGCTACTATGGAGTTAGTTATTCACTTCACCAGAAAACTGTATGCCATCTCTGCATTGTAATTTATGTATTGAATGAGATAAGAACAGTGTCTGAGTCACTGTTGCAAATTTATAATTTGAATTTGTGTGGTTAAACCCTTTGGGAAGTGTTTTTAATACTTCATTGCATTGTACAGAGGCAAGGAAGCAATACTCACCAAGCTCAAGGCAGCCGGGGTGGAGGACCCCAGTGAATACATCTCGTTCCATGGGTTACGCACACACTCAATACTCAATGGGGAGCTGGTAAGTCCACAGCATCTGCTGCAGTATTATGTCTAGCTGATGATATAAAATGACTTTCAAGCATACCGCTCCTCTTTATTTAATACTTTTTTCTGTATGAGGTATGAGAATGTATGAATAAAGATTTGTTCAAGTGACCCGACCGCACGTGACATCCCCTGGGAGTTCATACATTGAGCCCAGCTTTTCTGCCATCGTTAGAAGCGCATCTAAAACTTTTTATGTAATACCGTTAGTACTTTCTGCTAAATTTTCTTAACCTAAAGTCACTCTCCTTTGGGTTTCAGTTCCAACAAAAGTCACAGAGCAAGGTCTGTAGAGCATGGTAGTACAGAAATCAGTGCCATTTTGTCTGTGGCCATGAACCACTTGACGTGCGGGGCGATACGAGCGAGCGTATTGTCTTAATGACCCAACCAGTGTCCATTTCTGAGGATGTTTTCCCCATCACATCTGCGTAGTTAGGTTATCTTATTAACGGTTCGGCCTTGGGCGTGAATACGTGATGCACAGCCACAGTGCACTTGTAAAAATTATCAATGTGGTCTTGACATGCGATTGAACTTGTTTCGCCTTCTTTGGGTGTTGTGACTTTGGAATTTCCATTGTAATGACTGCTGTTTTTTTTTTTTAATTGTACCCTTGAACCCAGGTTTTATCATCTTTGGCAAGATATGCGAGTAACCTTCAACCTCGAACTTGTCGTAGATTACGACACATAAATGTGAATTTCCTATTTGTTCATCTGTTAACAACTGAGGAATAAATTTTGACACATATCCTTCATGTGTTTAGTAAAATACTTTGGGAGGTTCCATGAGAAATATTAATTTTGTATGCAAATCAATAACACAGAATTCTTGGTTAGTTAACTTATGAATCCTTCCAACATTTTTATCCACTGTGCTTGTGGAAGGCTATCTATATGCTTGTGTTTCTGATGAAGCATCTTCTCCAAAGGCTTTTCATAACATGTATTTCAGAAGTTGTTTTACCGAGGGCTAGGTGAGAGTTTATGTTAATTCTTTGTTCTCTTGAATTTATATTTTAAAAAATGTTCCAAACTTGTACGTGTCTTCACTAAATGGCTTTACGTGCATTAATGGAACAACATAGAATGTTATGGAAAATCATGCAGTAACATCACATAGATGAAAATGTTCTAACCAACATTTTTATCCACTGTGCTTGTGGAAGGCTATCTATATGCTTGTGTTTCTGATGAAGCATCTTCTCCAAAGGCTTTTCATAACATGTATTTCAGAAGTTGTTTTACCGAGGGCTAGGTGAGAGTTTATGTTAATTCTTTGTTCTCTTGAATTTATATTTTAAAAAATGTTCCGAACTTGTACGTGTCTTCACTAAATGGCTTTACATGCATTAATGGAACAACATTGAATGTTATGGAAAATCATGCTATAACATCACATAGATGAAAATGTTGTACACTTACAAGGAGCATTCTCATAACTCTTGAATGTTTTGAATTTATTTTTGTGTGTATCTGTGTCTCCTAGCAAATCTCATTCTTTCAGTACGTTTGTATGGCGTCTCCATTCTGATTATGTTGTTTCCAGCTTTTGGGAAATTGTCTAGTTCTCTTATTTATTTTATAGTTAAAAAACATGCAATTTGCTGTGTCCCCCAGAAACCATTTCAGGTGATATAAATGTTTTCTCCTCAGATCATTTGTGTACGCTCGTACTATCCATGCACCACTGCTATACTGCTGTAATGTTTTACTTGAGTTCTAAGCAGAATTCTTATCCCAGTTAGGATATGCTTATGAGCCATAAGGCTACCAAATGTGATGGCTCATTATTTGTTAACAAAATAAAAGTAAATATTGGATTTGTGTTTCTGCCTTATTTCGTGAGAAATTACTACAACACATGGTATATATTTTTTTTAAGATCCATCAGCTTATAAAATGTAAGTTCTAATTGCTGCCTTGTTGGTATCATTGGTGGTGGGGAATATAAAAGCCTTTAATGGTGTCACATTCTTGAGATCATATGAAAGCTGGTCAGCTTAATTCGGAGGGGCGTGTGCAGTGGACGTAGGTGCGCGTTCTTAAACTTTCTTGTTGTCTGCAGGTAACGGAACTGATTTATGTACACTCCAAGCTGCTCATCGCTGATGACCATCTGGTGATCTGCGGCTCAGCAAACATAAATGATCGCAGTATGCTAGGCAAGCGAGACTCTGAAATAGCTGTCATTATCAAGGTTTGTGAGCGCTCCATGTGCTGAGAAGGGGGTCACATACAGACACACTCGGGCAGTTTTTCACATTTACCTTTCATAGGCTGTTCTTCTCGTCTTGAGGTCACTTTCATCTCGGTCACTTGAGCGGCGAACTGCTAATGAGATGTTTTAAAGGTCATTAATGAAGGTCGTGGACACTAGGATTGGGTGGTTTTGGAATTTGGTTTGATGTATTTTATTTTCCACGTCTGTGTTTGTCGTGGCCCTCTCACAATTTTTATTGTTAATCTTAGTATTATCTGCCATTGATGTAACCTGATCTCAGGTGCTTATAACCATGTAGTTGTTCTAACTTATGTTGTCAACCGACCAAAATCTTTTGCCTCTCGGGATAACCTCTCATCAACAGCAACACGCCCTAGCTCCTGCTACGACAAGAAAATTCCCGTTTTAGTTATAAGGCTTTGTTTACCATTTCCAGTAATGCGTTTCGTACGCAGGAATGGTGTTGCTTGCGCTGGACTCCGCCCTTAGTTAGCTTTTTGGTTGGTTGGTTAAACTTATGTTCAGTGGTAGAGATTAGCTCATTCTGACGCCCCACAGAGTAGGTGCCCCCTTCACTGTACCTAAAGATGAGAACAGATTCAGATCTCAAAATGTTGTGTATTTAATGTCAGACAATGGACAAGGTCCAAAAACCCACAAGTTCAGTGAGTCTTAATTTAACAATATCACATAAATCTGTAAGCCTGTAGATTCCATATTTCCAACTGGTTATAATGCTATGACATATTGCCTGTTACTTAAATACAGACATGTGCCTTACACTGGTGTTATCTGTATCCACGTGGCTAACTGACAGTGGCTCGGCTTCATTCCAGATTACGCTACTGTTGCATCTTGAAAGGAAGAAGCAACTCTCTTTCAGTGGTGCACATTCAGTAATGATCTGCTCAGGCTAATTGATGACTAAACGTGTTGTCATTACAGAGTAGGTTCTCGTGATGCACCCCTAATGATTTTATTGTATTATTTTTTTAATTGTCTCTCCCTTTTACTCTTTAATTTGAATAGAAGAGAAGAGAAGTGAAATATGGAATTATTTTACCCCAGTTGATACTGATTCTGTTAATGTGAACTACACAAGGAAAAAACTGTGGAATCTACAAGTAGACTTCACATTTTTGTACACTCCATTTTATTTAGAAGTAATAATTAATTGTTATTTGATAATATTCTGTAAATGTTTAATGGATAAATACATGTAAAAAGATAGTACCTGTTTGTTTTCTAAGTTACTTTGGACAAACTTTATCTGAAATAACGGGAGAAAGGACGGATAGCTTCTTGGAAGAGGAACGCATTGTTACTGCTGCCATCAAGGGCAACAGATTTTCATCTCTAGTTACCAGTAACTCTGTTGTGTGTGTGATTTTAGCTGCCATCAACTTAGCTGTGTGTTGTCAATTTTTTGGTTGTGTGGCTTCCGATATTTTTTAACCATTTATTTGCCGAGTTTAATTGTCAACTTGTCAGTTGCATAGTTACTGATATTTGCCAATTTGTCATCCGTGTGAGTGCTGTAAGATGTCACTTTCTCTCTGCTCAGGATACTGAGTTTGAGCCCAGTGTTATGGGTGGAGCCCCGTACCAGTGCGGCAGGTTTGCCGGGTCACTGCGGAAACACTTGTTTCGGGAGCACTTGGGTCAGCTGCAGGGCCGCTTCCTACTGGATGACAGCGCAGATGTAAGTGACCCAGTGAGCAGGCATTTCTACCGGGACGTATGGCAACACACTGCTGCGCGCAACACGCAGATATATGAGGAGGTACGGATGGACCGGCACACAGCGTTTATTATTTAACAGTTAACATATCACATGTAAAAGTTGACAAATTTTATTCTTGATAACAATATTTGTTTTATTTCAGTACTTGGGAAATAACATTTTTGTTCTTATCTCATATAAAATGTAAGCCATGTACTCGTTCTCAAGTTAAGCCTTTTTTCATTTCCCTCCTCCAGACGTATGTTTGTGAACGTCTTACAAAACCTATAAAATTCTTTCCTTATCTCAGTTTAAATATCAGTGCACCTTAGTAAAGCTGTTCTGTTCCTCTCCATCAGAAGCTTAGCCATGTTCATAACAGCAAACTCTGTATTGTAAATCTTCCATTGAGTTTCCCTCGCGTCCTCTCAGTGGCTTTGCTTTTCCGAGCATCGTTACTGAGAACTTAGATTTTCCCCGCATTCTAGTAACCAGTTCAATTTTCTCCATATATGCTAGTCTTATCAACCAGTTGCTACAGATCTGCAGATCTGATAGGTAAACTATATATTTTGTGTGTTACGCAGGTGTTCCAGTGCATCCCCTCGGATAGTGTTACCAACTTTCAGTCCTTGAAGCGTTACCAGGAGGAAGCCCCGCTGTGTCATACTGACCCACCCGCAGCTAACAAGAAGCTGGAGGACGTTTGGGTGAGTAGGGTCAGAATTGTGAACTTTATTTGCTATGATGACAGTTGCACCAGTTGATACAGCATCCCGTTCTGTTCTACAGGGCCACTTGGTGGATCTGCCACTGGAATTTCTGAGCAACGAGGTTCTGACTCCTACTCCGACATCTGTTCAGGGCATCATGCCAACAGCTCTATGGACATGATAAAGGTTCAGTTGCATGTCTAACTTTAATGCTGTCATCTCTGTCAATCTCTTCAGGCAAATGTCACAAAATGAGACCGCATCTCCCCACATCAGTTTCATGTCACATGGCGTCTGCATTCATTAAGCGTCATTAGAAACCTACATGAGAGACAGTGACATGTGATAGGCCCAACTTTAAAACTTTAAAGTGGTAGCAATTGAACATGGTCTTTCTTGAATAGTTTTCAACCCTCCTGACCCTCGCCCATGTAAGCGACATTGAAGGCAGGTACTCAGTCTAAATGTGTCTGTATGTAATATATTCTTTCTTCCTGTGATCCTAATTTACCCGTAGGTGTCGAGGTTTGTATTTATTCATTTTATTGATATGTCCGGACAATGGTAGGACTCCTTAGATGAGTGATCGGCCCGATGCAAGGCCTCTACCTATACAGACACAGACAAACATCCATGCCTTGAGTGGGACTCGAACCCACGGTCCCAGCGGCCAGGCGCATGACGTGGTCCGTGCCTCAGACCACGTGGCTACTGCGGCCGGCATATGTAATATATAAATACGTGTAAAAATTTGAACATAAAACATTTAACGTGGATATTTTAGTTATCTCCTACGAACATGAGCATTCTGAAAGTCTGTGGTTCAGGTTTTGTGTGTCTGGCAGATTTTTAAGTACTATTTTTGGACACCTGGGTGAAGGGGCACGATACTGAGTAACGTGTAGGTGGTGATGGGCGGCCGGCAGAGGAGAGTCGAGCTCCGAGTGATGATGGGGTCTGGTATTCTTCACATTCACATCTGACAGATGTGAGAGATGTAAATGCATTCAAACAAATATGCACTGAATCCAACCATTTTTCAGTGTGAAATCTGTAGTTTGTGAGGCTGCCTTGCACTTGACAATTATTTATCTGAACAAGAACATCTCCACCTCGCTATTGTGGGATGCATCGCTGTCACTGTCGTTGGACTTCGTCCTGAAGTGACTGAACATGATCAACATCCCGTTTCCCTAAGATCCGTCTTGGCCTAGGTGTCCCATATCATCTTGTAGCTTTAAATTCCTCACCTGATTTTCTCCATTCCTCGTTGCTTGATCCATTATAAATCCGTATGTTCATCGTGTGCTTTGTTCCGAAAAACCATCATTCACACCTATAGAGAGCAACAGATAAAATGTCATCACAAGTATATTGATAAGCCTCTTATTGTGTTTGTTTGTTTGTTTGTTGCAGGAGACCTTGCTGCAGAAAACTGGTCTGTGGGACCTTCCCCCACGTCAGTCTCGGTGATTTGCCTGGCATCTGCCTGAAAGCGAAGCGTGCTGTTTGAATTTGTGGGTCCGACTGAACTTTGCGTATGATGAGGTTATTGAGGAGAGATTTGGCTGTCTTGCCAGACCAATTCCACTACTGACGTTAGTAGTTGGTGAAGCATTTATGCAGTTGTGCATTGTACAAATATTGTGTGCCATGTGAATGGCTTCTGTGGTTTTAATGGAATGTCTTTCTTAGTTGTATCTTGCCATGAAGTTCCTCAGGACACATGACAGTTTTAAACTTTCTCAGGGTTCGCTTCCCTCGCGTACATCTTCTAAAGTTTGTGCCTTCTTATATAAGTTTTGCACATCTTTTCCTTGAGCAGATCTGCGTGGTCTCCGACATTTTGCAGTTCTTGATTGTTAGTAGTTCAGTTCTAAGGAAAAAATTTTAATGTGTTGGTTTTGAATCTTTTGATATTTAATTTTATGTAAGGTTAGTGCTTTTAAAGTTTGCTCAGCTGTGATGGTTATTTATAACTGTGAACATATTAATAAATTGAAGTGCGTATATTTTCCAAATGACTTCATACGTTATTGGCCTTCACATTTGTTTCTTACAGATACAAATGTATTATTGGAAAGTTTATGAACAGTATAGAAATAACTTTGAATAGTCATGAATTCTGTACGTTGAAATAGCTGATAAGTGCCACTGATATGGCGACAGACGCGCAGTGACAGGTTTACATAATTTAATTAGCCACAGAGCTCTTCCAGGCTCTAGTGCTCTAAGGATGTCTCATCAGGCATCATCAGAGATTTTAATAATCGGGGGGAAACCCCAGACCATAGAACGAAAAGACTGAGGCACTGGGTTCAGTAGCGAAAGTCTTCTGACTACAGGATGTGGGTAAAGTCACTCATGGATTGAACAACACTTTTAAAAAACTGAAAAAGTTAAGTCACAAGTCAGTACAAAAAATCAAAGACGGTAACTTTTACTCGGACTGACAATTGAAGTGACTGTGAATAGATGGGATGACCCATGAATGTAGGACACTTACTCCAGACAACCACAACTTTAATCCAGTTTCTTGCTGCAAAACAACCCTTTCCAATTTGGAGTGGCTTGCCGTATGGCAAGTATATAGATGCGACAACCAGACTCAAATATAAATTCAAGTTTAACTCGGTTTCCCATTCAGTTACGTGTAAACATGAAACAGAGAGAGAGAGAGTACAAATGTTACTGGATTATGGTGAATCTTCTTTTGCTTCTAGTACGATGCAAGACCAGTCAGTGCATGTGGTTTTGTCTCTAGACGTAGGATTGCACCACACCTTCAAAGCACATCTCGGAATGGTCCCTTGGGCGGTGACGTTCCAGTTGAATATTGTTGCCTTCCAATTTCATGGTCTGATTCCACATCCTTTGGATTGAACGTCGCTCGGTTGATATTGTCTTCCCAGCCAACTATTCTGGCTACCTTTTGTTAATAAATACTTTGGCAGACTCCTTGAACATTACTGCGCTTCCCACTGCCAGGCAACGAGTACTCTCTTAACGTCTCAGTACTTCCTCCTCTGCTGCCAGATGTGGTTCTTGTCCGTATCGGTACTTCAGTCTTTTGTCTGCTGACCAACAAGTCACGTTCGTTGTCTCCCCCCGTGACCTCCGCTTCCTCGGCGTGGTTGTCACACATGCGTAGTCTATTTTGCGCGTGCCAAGCAATCTCACAGAGTGCATAACACCCAGTAGGTGACCAGTCGCTGTGGAGGGGTACAGCTCTTAGCTTGATGTAATCTCGCCGTGACCGAACGCGAGACCATTGAAAATTTACAGCATAGCAACAAACTATTTTATTTGTAGTTCATTAGATACACAGTAAAAGCCCAATGTGACAAATGGGTATCTGTAATAAGAAATGTTTTTTTTTTTGTTCACAGTTAATATAATTATATTTTTTGTTGTAAGAAGCTTGCTCTTTCAGTATTTTCTGTATAATGCGAGTGTTTTGGTGCTTTCTGCAGCCATGAAAATGTGTTGTGGTCTTTGTTTCTTATTTTCACAAAATAAGTCTGAGGTGTCAGTAAAATGCTGCCGCGTTGTTTTTCTCTCCCCATTCCTCGTGCTGTTGCAACGTGACTTGGTCACTGCTGCTGTTCTCGGTGGGCTGTGTCCCACTGGGAACGCACTACTGTCACTGCTGCTCTCTATCAGATGAGGGGTATCCACGTATTTGATACTTGCCTTCAATTGTCAAGGAGTATTTATGTATAATTCAATTCCCGATGAGACTGAACAGAGATGATTGAATCGGAATATTTTACGCACTTGCACGGTGACTAGGGGGATAAAGCAGCGATTTGTGTACGGGAAATTGCCCCACACCTCTTCTGCTGTGATGAAGACATTAAAGGTGAAGTGGATGATGTACCAATCAAAATCTTTTGTGCAAATTGCAGTTGGTGAAGTGAGTGTGAAATATGTTCTTCACATGCAACAAATCCATTCAATAAATGATATTTATTTTTGATTGTTCATTCAGTTTTTCTCCCTGCATGTGTTATCCTGCACCACCAAATTAATGCTCGGTAGTCGTTCTCCACAGCAGATTGATATTTGATGATGCATTTATTTTCCTCTCCGCTGCTGCCAGCAGCTTGTACGAAAAGGAGCGTCAGAATTACCTAGCATTCTTTTCTTCACATAGCATTTTATTTATTTATTTATTGAGTGTTCTGTCTGACGACAGGTCCATATGAACAGGATCCTTCCATCCTTTTCTCGGACTGGGACCTGTTCATATACGTTCTTGGCAGATGATCCAGAAGTGATTTGCCATTGCCTTCTTCTGTGTGTGAATGCCACGGAGAAACCGGGGAAGCCCCCGGAGGAAAACTCCGTGTTGCCTAGACCACGGCCTTGCCCAACACAAGTTATAAATTCGGGCACCGCCAGGAATCGAACCCGAGACCCCAGGATTACAAGGCCAGCGTTCTAACCGCTAGACCACCGTGGCGCTTTACATAATATTCTGATTTAGCAGTTAATGTAACAAAACTCTTAGGTTTGTTTTTATAAAGTCTTAAGATATTTTCTCTCACGAATAAGAAACATAGAGAACGAGGCTCATATCACATGTTATGATCATGGCCTGTAGCATCGTAATGGCCTAGTCATTTATAGCTGCAGTCCATAGTCTTGAAATGTTGTTTTGTCACAACCTCAAGTAGGACGATTACATTACCAGTCTAACCTTTCATTCAAGATACCCAGAACCATTTAAGTTAGTGGTTTCAGAGATGAAGTTTTGGACACGTTTGCCACATTATTACTCCCAGAGGTGTGGAGGACAGTTTACAGTTTTAACCAGAACGTGCATATTTCCTGCGAAAACAATTATTATGCGAAATTTTAGGTTGTCATGGCAGCAGTTGGGAATATGGGGGGGTGTTGCACCGTGTAATCTGGTAGAAGTCTACGTGTGTTTCAGAGGCATAAGCATCTCTTTAATGTTGGTAAACTTTAACCCCACACTACATGGTGCAACAACCCGGAAGACAGCCATCTTCATTTCTTGTCATGTAACATGATGATGTCCTTAATTGGTTCTTACAGTTAAGTGCCACTCCCTTTTAATCAGATATTTATGGATATTTGAAGTCGTGTGCCCTCCTGATCAGTTTGGTGTTTTACAATATGCAGTTGCCCTCATATGAGTGCATGAACGTTGAAACAAAACGGTTGTTAGGTTTGAAACATGCAGTCAAATTTAGGTGACCCAGTTTGGTGCGATTTGTTTGACCTGAGATCTCACTGTGGTACCTGAAACATGTATCTGATGGTAACAATGAAGGTAAAGACAAAATATACTTGAAATATTTGAATTTATACCATTCTTGCTTTATATTCTCAAAGTTCCACCTGTACACTTCAACCCAGAGGCTGGTGTCCCAAGGTTCTGAAGTTTACTCCATCCATCCAGGCAGATTCTGGGATAGTACATTAAGACAACTGATAACTACTTCCACATCATTCATCTTCTTGCTGCCTGCCATAATCAAAAGAGTTCAGAAAACATTCTTAAATAAAGTAACGAGGGCACGTGCAGCATTGTCTGTAATGTGATCCTCTGATCAAGCCCCTTTGTTAAATCCTCCGACC